ACTCTTTCCCAGCATTATCCTTTTGAGTATCCCTTGGACCCCTCTGAGATACCTTTTTTGAAAGCAGGAAAGCTTCTTTTCTGTCTGTTGCCCCTCCAGTTGGTCGGCCCATCTCTCCCAACGCTGCATCATGGGGTCAAGAGTGGGACCAGGCTGCAGGACATTGTCTCCCATGCCCCTTTCCTGCAGCTGTAAATCCTGACCTTTCTCAACATCTACCTGGACACCTGGGGAGGTTGCCTTGAGATAAGCCCCTCTGCTTCTTCCATTTCAACATCTGAGCGGTCTGGCTCCCAGGACGCCTCATCACCTGATGAGTCTGTATCTGCCTAGCCTTGCAATGTATGCCAAGAATAACTGTCCCTTTTATTCTCAAGATAATCAGCCTTAATTGGCAAGCTGGCTTATGACAAAAACAAAACTCTTCAATGTCTGAGCAGTCCTGATATTATCGTCTGTGGCAGATGTTGGGAGGGTGCAGCAAGGCATTGGAGGGGAGTGCACCAGGTGACCTGCCCTGTGCCCCCAAAGCTAGCCTGATGCCTTCAGGTGTGGGGGAGGTTGCTGTGCCCTTATCAGTGGGGAAGAAAGAGTGAGCTCCAGTTCAGTATGCATGGAATGAAATGTTTCAAGCTGACCCTGAGTCAGGATTGATCCTGGTCCCAAATCATTGAAGTCAATTGGATGAGCAAGGTCAGTGCCATAAATAACATTTGGAACATGGGAAGAAGAACAGGAACCACCCCAGCGCTATGGAGCCGCTCCAGGATTTTACCATGAACTTGCTGGAGGTAGAACATACAAAGTAAGAATTTTCTTACACTGTGGCTGAACTAGGCATAAATGATGAAAACAAGCAGCTTGGTGCATGATTGCTCGCCTTCATCAACCTCATCATTACATTACATTAATACCCCACATTTCTTCCTCTGCAATAATAAACCAAGGTGGCTTACCAATTTTTTCCTCCTCAACATTTTATCCTCACAACAACAACCCTGTGAGGTTGGCTAGACTGAGAGTCTGTGACTGGTACAAAGAGCATCATGGCTGAGTGGGGGCTAGACCCTGGAACTCCCAGGTCCCCAGTACAACAATCTAACTCCCATGCTATGGTTGTTTGCAGATATTTGCTTTTGTACAATGTGGCTTTTCTCTGTGCAAGATTAAAGCTAATAGTCAATTGAAAGTGACCTTTTGTTTATGGGTAAAGAGACAATACCCCCTTATGCATTAAAACAAGACACAAAACCTCCAAGGATATCAGAAGTGCCTTATATCTCAGGTCAGACTATCTGTCAGGCCAGGTGTCTGACTGGTGGCCCCTTTTCATGATCTCAGGCACAGTGTTTTCATGTTGATTGGGTTCAAACAATGCAATACTCCACTCTCAAGGCTTGAGTGTCAGTTGTTGCTGAACTGTGGGTTATTGTGTAGTACTCAACAGCACTACAAGCCGTGGCTTGTTAACCATGAACAACTAATAGGAAGAACCCATCTTTTGTTGCTGGGTTGCGAACCATGGTTGTTTACCATGTCATCTTGGTTTCAACATTACCCCATGGGTCAATGGCAGCCCACACTCAATGCATACCCGGCCCTTGACTGTGGATTCTTATACACCCATTCATTATCTCCTACCAGAGTGTTTTGATTGCAGATGCCCGGGATGGACTCTCCGGCAGAAAGCACAGATTCTATCACTGAGCTAAAGAGCTGAACTACCTAGTTTAGTTTTCCTGGGATGACCAAACACTGAAGACTTAAAAACTTCTTTGTAATACTTGATATAATTACAGATAGAAAGGCAGGGTGTAAGTGGAAGGAAAAAATGGCACTCCTTTGAAGGCATAATCTGATTCTTGTTCAGACAGAAAAAAGTTCTACAACTCACAGCATTCCCCAGCCAGAATGCTGGTAGGAGTAGGACATTCTGTGTTTAAATATGTCCAGACTGTGCCCTAAGGCAGCTAAATGCACAGAAGGATAGGGGATAATTGTATTGAGTTCACGGTTTAATTAATGATTACATAATTCTGTACCACAATGCAAACTGAAACTCAGTTATCTTTAGAAATTCACATGTTCACTTAGGGGTTCTTTTGTGGGAAAAACATGCACCATCATGTTTATAGTAAAGAAAATACTGTTCACATCTGCATTATATTAGGAGTATAGCTTGCAAAATGTTTATCATAATCATGTATTAGGAGAATTGTACACAAAAATGCATTTGAATGTTCATGCAACATTTACTCCCCCTCCCCCCCAAAAAAGATGAATCTGAGATGAACTGCACTTAAGATTGGAAGAATACAAAACTGAGAAACATTGACAGGTTAATTCATTCTTAATGCAAATGAATTTGGTTGAGGCTTCTAGTGCTCAGGCTGATGTGTGATGCAGGTGACTATGAAGGCTCAGGGGCTGACCTGTGTTTAGAAGGATGTATCCTATCAAGTTTAGCTTTGTCAGTTCCATTATTTCATTCTTCCCCCAGCAGTTTCCATGCTGAATGGCAAGATGTGGTACAGAAAGGCAGTGTGGTGTAGTGGTGAGCGCGTCTGTCAGGGGACCTGGGAGATCTGGTTTCTAGTCACCTCTTGCCCATGACACTCACTGGGTGACTTTGGGCCAGGCATTCATTCTCAGCCTAACCTTCCTCACAAGCTGTTGTGAGGAGATAATGGAACAATGTGACTGCCTTGACTTCCTCACAAGAAAAAGAGGAGACATAAATGCAGTGTAATAAAGATACAGGCAAAGATTTTCCATCTTGGTGGTACAGTGATGGCATAGGCAGAAAACACTCACCTGTTTAATGTTTGGAGGCAATATAGTTAGCAAAGTTTCAGAAAAGCTGCCCAAAAAGATATTCTTGAAACCCAACGGCAAGGATAAAGAAAACCACCGGCTCTAAATATAAAATCATATTGCTAATAGTAGGCCCAGCTTAAAGCAACAACAGTTGAGTGACAGTAGCCTCAGGGCATCTGACTGATGTATTTTTCTTCCCTTCTCAGCTACATGAGTAAAAATGCTGCCTGCCGCAGAGCTTTTAATAGGAAAGGAAACCCCTCCAGAAAGTGGCATACCTGAAATCAGACATGCTTTCATGACTCAGAAGAGACTGGAACAATAACTGCATTGATAGTGGTTGACAAGAGAGATGCTTTGTCCTTCAAAGTGGTATGGAAGACCGAAATTGTTCTGGCGATACTTCCCTCTGCACATGAGAAAGGGCTATGTCAGGTAGAAAAAGTTGACCTTGTTAATGTTTCCCAGCTTCAGTCCATAAAAATAAACTCCCCCAACAATCACCCATTTAGAGGGGGTTTTCCTGCATTTTTCTCCAAGCCTTCTGCTTGCATATCGTATGTTGTCTTCCTTCATACTTGGAGAACAGAGTTCACGGTTAATATTTATGTCGATTCAGCATCTCTGCATAAGCTGTGGATGGGAGAACAAAGGCAACTCTCTGTGTAGATTCTGATTTGACCCCTTATTATTTAAACCAAGGGTGAGCTAAAAATAAGGCTCAGATAATTTTAGGACAGGCACAACCTATCACTGCTTAATAATAATAATAATAATAATAATAATAATAATAATAATAACAATAATTGTAATAAGGCCACTACACAATGACTTCTGCTCATGTTTTTCAGCCAGGAGCCTGACTCATCTCTAAAAAGTGAATAAGATAGAAAGAAACAGTGAAAATATAGGACTCTATTGGATCCATTTTTAAAATGTTTGGATATTCCACATTTATTCTTATCTGAGAGAAAAATACCTTTGTATGAAAACAAAATTCTAATGTGATGGAAACGGAAACTGACCTATCTGTCCATCCAGGCCAACGGTGCTGAGTACTTTGTATGCCCAGCTATGCCACCTCTGTTTTCTGACAGGCTTTCAGAAAGGCAGGCACAAGGCCTTTTCTATGCCAGGAACTGTTGCAACTTCATTTTAATTTTTGTGCACAGTTCTGCATATTTGGGATGAGACTTAAAAAAACTGAACACAGGAGAAATGGATAGATCGATCAGATCCCTCGTTACAGGCAGTCAGCTCTTTTCCCTTTTAAAGGCCACAGAAGGGTTTTGGTTGCATTTCACTTCCTAGTGCAAGTGTGTCACAAAATCCTGCTCATGTCCTGGCAAGAAAGAGTTCCAGAAGGCATAGTTAATTTATGGGCCTGCTTGTGCTGACGACATCCTTATGCTGAGAGTGGGAACTAGGCAACCAGAGGCACCATCACAGACCTTGAAATGGAAATGCCAACAGATGATTCCCCCGACATTGTGCCAGCATGCATCAGTGTAACATAGAAACTGCTGCTGCTGCTGCTGAAAGCATCCATCAGCGGACCAGCAGGGGACTTAGTAAGAAGAGGCCTGATGACATATAAGGCACAGACACAAAGACACGTCCTAATGTGGGCATTATTATCCACCACTGGGATTCTAGTCTGGCTCAGAGCAAGCTCAATTATTAAGCATGTATAGAGTTCAACCTTGGTGCTGTTAGAACGGGAAATGCACTTGGTGCAATCTGAAATAGAAATTATTCCTCCAAGACCCATTAAGCTGGGGTAGGCACTGCATTGCCTAAGGCAAACCCTCCAAGGTCCCTTATGGCCTCCCACTTTTTATTTTAAAGAGATAAACAGGCTTGCTTACCTGTAAGGCTGGTAAGCCTCAAAGGAATTCTTTAGTGGGTAGGCACTCAAATTTCACTTCTGCCTTCAACTCTGAATCTTAACGCTTTATGGCTCTTTTGCTGGCTACAGAAATGTAACACAGAAGGAACACCAACTGATGGAAATTCACAAGGTACAGTTTGGAACATGCCCTCTTTCTGTTTTTGGAAGCTGAATTCATTTCATGCAATTAATGTAATTCAAAAATGTAAAACAAAGCAGCATAATATGTTTTAATGTTTCTGACTCTTTATTTTGTACATTGGAATCTGCATAAAAGAACCAAATTGTCTGAAAGGTTGTTCTTCTTTTCTTGCCACTTATTCTGAGGAAAGATATACATTTTGGTAAAGTCTGTAGCAGTGTGTGCCCTGAGAATGTTTGGTTTTAATATGTCTTTGGATTACACCAATTTAAATATGCTCAGCAATTTGGAAAAGCAAGGTGATTAGGAAAGGGTATTAAGGGATTGCTAGCTTTGCATTCAACATTAAATTATCGAAGTTGTCAAAACATTAAACAGTTCATGTGTGTATATATTTATATATATATAAAATCAAAACCAATACTCGTCTCCACCACTACTCCTAGTACTTGTTCTCTCTCGGCTTTTTAGCCTCAACACATCCATGACACTTCGAGCATATATATCTCGCAAGTTAATGTTGATATTGCAGTCACTGGACATGTTTTTTGTGAGCTTCTTTAAGGCTTCACGCTGGCGGAGGGCAGCTTCCTTGATCTTCAGTGTAAAGTAGCAGGTAGAAAAGCGGTCATTTATGATGGCTATTGGCAAAGCCAGGACCAGTATTCCTGATAAAATGCACATAAAGGCAACTATCTTGCCCATCACCGTGTCTGGTCGGATGTCTCCGTAGCCAACGGTAGTCATGGAGGTTGTAGCCCACCACCAGGCACAGGGAACACTCATGAATTTTGTGTTGTGGACCCCTTGCTCCACAAAATACTCCATTGTGGAAAAGATGGAGATGCCCACAGAGAGGAAGAGCAGGAGCATGCCAACCTCTTCGTAGCACTGGGCAATGGTCATTGCAAGGGACCGCAGACCTGGAACACAAGACAAGAGTTTCAGTTGGTGACACCTTTCCTCTTGAATGATGACATGTGGGTGGATGGGTGGCTTGGGTCCTCCTTCCCATCAAGCCAGAAACGAATCTTAGGGCAAAAGGTCCATCCAAACATCTTGTTAACTAAGAGAATACACACTTAGCTTGAAATAGGATGAGATGTACCCCCCATCTAGATTTTTCCTGAAAGCTTCTCTAGTGGTTTTAAGCAAGTGAGAATATAAGGCAGTATTCAGTGGCTGGGTTTTGAAAGAGGTATTATGTTTCTGCCAAAGAACTTGCTTTCTTTCACCCCCGAGCCCTCCCCCACACACAAACACATTTTACATAAAATAAGAATGAACTCATGGCATCATTAAATACTTTATTGTATTACTGCTGGGCCTATACATGAGCAACAACAAGAAAATGGTATGAGAGAATTCAGGGGGTGTGATATGAGAGGATTTTATTTAGATTTACTCAGTGATCGTGAACAAGTCAAGAGAATTTCTCTTGCACGGATTGCAACCTTCATGGAATAAAACAGTTTAGATCCATATGACCCACTTTAAAAGGTAAAGGTTTCTCCCTTTAAACTAAGTTACACCAAGAAGTCAAAAAACAAAGCAAAACAAAACACCTTTAAAGGTGATCTATATGAATTTTATTAACAAAAAGTGGCCTTCCACCAGCACAGGCGGTGGCGGGGTGGGGACACGTGGCTCTTCAGATGTTGTTTCACCGCAACTCCCATAAAGCTTAACTAGCACAGCCGATGGGAGCGGAGGGTGGGAGTTGCAGTTTGACATTTGGAGTGTCACACCTTTTGGATTTTTAAAAAAGATGAATTTTCTTCATGCAATAAAGATACTCATCTTCTTTCTCAAATCCTCAAACAAAAAGTTTGAGCCTAACTGTTCTCACCCTGTATTTAGCCAGAAATTTAGCCAGGCCAAATTTTAGTAAAGAGGAAATGAGAAGGTTTTGGAGAAATAGGACGTGGAGTCTCAATGAATGCAAAAGGCTTGCCAAAATCCAAAGAACACATTTTCTGACACTGCTAAAAGCTGGACTGCCACAATGGTTGAAGTGGAAAAACAGCCAGTATCTTTGATAGCTGCGAGTCAACCAACTCTCAGTATTGTAGAACAATTTTTTCCCCATTCCTTTGATATAGTTCTGTATAACCGACACTAGAATTTGCCTTTTTGTCCAGCTAGCATGAGGTAGGCTCATATTAGGCCCCTGGCTTATGAACGGCTTCCAGTTTCACTGCAGTCATTCAGAGCTATGGCTTAGCCAGCAATCTTCCCTGCTGCAGTAGAGGATTCTTGCCTGTGTGCAAGAGCTGACATCCATCTGTTCCACCACAATGTATTTGAAATAATGAATTCTAGAAGCAGCAGCTGCAACAAGGCAGACTCGGGAGGACTGCAGCCCCTCTAGGAAATGGCAACATTTGGACAGAAAATGCTCCGGAAGAAGGGAAGGCATCCTCTTAGTATTGTTACAGCTATTTGCAATAACTTCTTGCAAGGCCTAGTAGAGCCATGGTGCATGCTAGCCATACATGGATGCAACACCCAGGAAGCGAGAGAGCTGGGGATAAAAGGTGGACACAGACAGGCTACCCGCATTCCTGAGAGCAGCCTCGTGTGCTGCAAGAAGCAGAAACATTAGGACCTCAGTGACCAGTCCTTAAGTTCATGGATTGCTGGCCCCTCACGGGAATATATTACGTCCTAAATAGTCACACCTGCTTGTTTATCATGGAGGACACCAAGTGACAGTCAGCATGCACAAATGCAGAACAGATGTGTAAAGCACACTCCCAGCTAGCCACTTCCCTAATCGCCTGTGATGAGTCAAAATTGATTCCCAGCAACCAGGAGGGGAAAAAATGTGTCCTTTGCCTTTGATGTCATCAGTGCACAACACTGGCATTTTGCATATGTCTAGCTTATATGCATGCATGTCTTTATTTATTGTATTTCTATCCCATTATTTCTCCTGCAAGGAAGCTAAGCCACTTTACATGGCTCTCCTCTCCATGTAAATAAAAAAATTATTTAAAATACATCTTTTATCAGTATTATTCAGTTTCTGCTCACTCCAGTACTGTTTAGGCATTGACCTGAACATGCGAAGGCTTAAAATGGGCACAGGGTGGAAGATGGGCACACTGTCCCTGCTAGTTCAGGTCTTGCCCTGTCTGAAAAGGAACTCTGCCAGGAGCAGAACTCACTATGAGATGGCAGACGTTGCCTCCTATAGCAAGAATTCTACTCACATGCAGGTGATCCCAGGTTGAAAGCCCTTTCAGCACGTGCTGATTCAACAGGCTAAGGCCTGAACTAAGGCACCAGAGACAAAGTGCTCAGAGACACTGGGTGTGTGACCAGTATGCATATCCTCAACCCTCCATGCACTTTTAAACCTCACACACCTACACAGGACTTCTTCCCCTCGGCAAGGTATTATTCTGTAGAAGAATTCTTGAATTCCAAAACACTACACCTGTTGCTGGAGGGATTAAAACAGAACTTGAACAGTCCTCTTTAACTGGGTTGCTGTAGTTGCTTCTTGCATTAAGCAGGGATGAACATGGGGGCGGGGGGGTTGGACTACATGTCCTCCTAGATCTCTTCCACCAGTAGGATTTGTAGCACATTCCAAAGACATCTTAATTCTGCAGTGCTCTCCCAAGTGAAAGAAACTGACCTGGAAGTACTTTAGCCAGAAGAAATCAGGAGTGTGGGGTTATAAATTAATTTTGGAAGAACCATACTTCAGTTTTAGAACACCCACTTTTAGTCCAGATGTTTCAGGTTCAGTCCCTGCCATCTCAAAGCAAGGCTGGAAAAACTCCTGGAGAGCCATGCAGTTTAGTTACTTGACTAAATAGGTTTGACTCAGTATAAGGCTGTTCCTATAAGCCAACCAGATGAAAAAATAAAAGCTACTGCTGCTATGCCTTCCCACTTGAAAATTTCATTTAGTTCTTGAACAGAACAGAGTGTATCATCAGTTTGCAAAGTGTTCAGAACGACTGCTGTTCACACAGACAGCCCCTCTGGACAAATGTTTCCAAATGCCAGTGCAGTTTTGCTTGAACAGAAAAAAACGGTGATGCTTGGTACAGTTGACCTTTGCCTACTTACTCACCATTTCCAAGGAAGTTAGCAGACAGGGCAGTGCAAGTGTAAGGAAAGTTTACAGAAGTATCCACATGCCAGTCTGTGGCTAGACATTTCTAGCATGTTAACTGAATGAATCTGTGTTACACTTAGGGCTCAAAGAGTAACTGTGCTGGTAATGTTATTTCTGGACTCCACTTCTTCAGAATGCCCATTGGGCTGAATGTTTCTAGTTCCAAACAAGGCAAAAGACAAAACAGATTCCCCATGGGGAGAAAAGCGGATGCTAGGGTAAAGGGTTCTAGGCTTTCTAGGTATACCCCTGAAGGTGGTCCAGAAACTTCAGCTCATCCAAAATAGGCAGTGAAGTTGTTAATGGGGACTAGCCAATGTGATTATGCCAGTACTTTCCCATCTGCACTGGCTACCAGTCCATGTCTGGGACCATTTCAAAGTCCTGGCATTAATATCCAGAACTCTAAATAGCTTGGGACCAGGTTACCTGAAGGATAAATATCTGCTCAGACCCTAAGACCATCCTCCATGGTCCTTCTTGGGGAGTTCCCAGCAGGAAGTGAGGTGTGTGGCTATTAAGAAGAGCTTCCTTTCTACTGTGTCCCCAGAAATGTTCACTTGGCCCTTGCATTGCTCTCTTTTCAGCAGCAGGTAAAGAGGTTCTTACTTTTCTAGACAGTTTAGACTTTCAGTTTCTGATATAGTATTTTAAAACCATCAACTGCAGTTAGGATTTAGTTTACACTATAGTTTTTAAACTTTTTGTGCGTTTTATCATGTTTAACTTGGCATTTTTAATTGTGACTGCCCAGAGAACTTCAGCAATTAGACAGTACAGAAATGTAATAAATAGATAACTAAAATCATGTGATCCACCTATAGTAGGAATGTCTAGAAACACTGAGAAGGCAATTCTTGGGTTGGAGGGAGTAGGATTCTGGTTTAAAAACTGGCATGTGAGTGAAAGCCATTGGGAAAACTTACATGTTGTATATGACATGCAGCTTTGAAACAATCACATTTATGATGACGGTGCAATTCTTCCTGCGAACGCCGTGTATGTGGGAAAGGCAAATCCCTTCAAGAGCAATTAGAACTGAAAACAGTTCTGAATTGAACTGAATTCACTGCCGACCCACTGAAAATGGTTAAAATGCATAAAAAGAAAATCTTCACTGGTAGCTTTGCCTAAGGATTATAGCTTTATGTATGTTTTCCTAATGATCATGCCAGGGAGGGAGGAGATAAGCCTCTTTCTTCATGTCTTCAGTCCTTTTAAGGGTCCCTCCTCCCTCCATCTATCTAATTTCTGAAAGTGAAAATGCTGACATAGCTGCAAACTTGGTGCAACATGCAGCTCAGCCCTTCAATGCAACCCTGAAAGGGGAGGAAGCCTCCTTAAGTAACTCTTATAGCTTAAAACTTTCCTCTGTTCCCAAGCGTTTGACAGCATACAGCTGGGGCTTTGAAAGTAGCTGCTTTACCAAGCCCTGCCCCTTTAAATCAATTTTTAAAATATTTTACCTCTTTGATGGGTTAAAGTCCTGCTATAAAATGCCTTTAGCACTCTTTCTTTCATGTGTGTTTAAGCAAAGGACATCAAATATATGCAATAAAAATGAAATAGATAGTCAGCATGCCACCCCAGCTTTCTAGTGGGTTGCATGGTTCCTTGTATCTTGGGAATGAGGTCGGGGAAAGGAGTCAGAGGGAACGTTAGCAACTACATACAAAGTCTGCCAGGATACCAATCCTGGCAACATTTTGTGACCCCTTGCCCATTCATAATTCAGCTCCTACTTTGCTCCTCTTTTTAAAATGCCATTTTATTACATTCTATTTTTATGGAATAAAAACCATCATTTTCCAAGAGGATCCCAGACCAGGTGGATTTACCTGTTGAATGCCTGCCCAACTTCAACATGCGCAGACCCCTCAGCAGTCTCAGCACCTGGACCACACGGCCCATGTTTTCCAGCTCCTGGTGTCTCCCATGCAAGCTCTCCACAAGCAGTGTGATGTAGAAGGGCAAAATGGCCAGAAGGTCTATGATATTCGCTGCATTCTTAAGGAACTGGCATCTGTTTCGTGCACAGAAAAAGCGCAGGAGAAGCTCTCCTGTGAACCAGGCAATGCAAACATACTCCAGGATGTCTAGGAAGTGTGGGGGCAGCCAGCTCAGTTCCACTGAGATCAGGGCCATGTTGGCAATGGAAATAACGACAAAGGTCATGGAGACAGTGCCGAAAGTCCTGGCAGCTACAGAAGAACCGGGTTTTTCCAGTATTTCCCAAAGCTTCTGCCTGAAGCCAGGACACAGACTCCCAGAGAATTCATCCTCCTCATCCTGGGCATCCAACTCTTCAGTATCTTTCTTGATATCCAAGACTTCACTCAGTTCCTTGCGTCTGAAGTACCTGTTGCAAGGCAGTGGACAGAAACGATTATTTGGCCATGACTCAACATGTCAAACAAATCAAAAACACATACAGAAGATCATGCTAGAGAGGGAGGAGATAAGGGCAAGACTCAGCTGCTATAAAAAGGGGTGCAGCATCTCAGACTTGGAAAGTTCTACTTTTGGTCCTACTTTTCTCCAACCACATTTTGGTGGATTTCTGGCTTTGGAGCAGTTTTCTTTCCTGTTATAAAGGCTGGAGGGGCTCATCTAATGCTTAGCTAATGGCAGTAAGAGCTTGGAGCAAAATTATGCTTCTGTTTTTGGAAAACTGGTCTCTTCCTTTTCTTTGCAGCCCTGCCTCCCACTGCAACACAGCCCAAGAGATTATCTGGGGTAGAATTAGGTTCTGCACCCCTGCAATAAGCTGCAGATGTGGCTACTATGAGTCTCTGATGTGTAGAGCTGGATGGCCACCAAAGACAATACCCCTGAATGAACCTAAAGTGAGCACAGTCCCTGTCACAGATCCAGTTTAAATTAGTTAATAAAAGAGAGAATAAGAACCAGGAAAAGATGCTGGCATATTTGGGAAGGGGCCTCCTCTCTCTAAATTTAAGGAGATGGATATACTCTGCAAAGCATATGCTCAGTACCTGTAGCAGCTTAGTTTCTCAGCAGTTCAGTGATGCTGGAGTTCTTTTCCAGCAAAATATTGCCACCTACATATGATGCCCCTTTTCCTATTGTGTGTGGTTGGATGTGCTTGTCTGCAGCAATTTTCCCACTGTAGTCTGTAGGTCTGTATGGCCTACCTTGTTTTCTCTCCCAAATTAACAGCAGTAAGGAGAGAAAAACACACACTCTGTACAAAAGTCAGTGTAACCCAGCTTGATTTTGCCAGAGGCTTTCTCCCCTATGTTATCCCTTATTGCAACCTTCCCCAACTAGGTGCCTGCCAGAGGTATTGGAAGACAATTTCCATGAGCATCAGCCAACATAGGCATGGTAGGGGATGATAGGAGTTGTAATCCAACACAGAAGTCTGGTGCCATGTTGGAGAAAGCTGTCAGATCACTGCTGCCCTTTCAAATAGGAGTTATTCATTTCATTAAAGGCGCTCTCTCTTATTACTGAGCTCAGCCTTATTACTGGCCCATTTCTCTGTTATGCTGCTGCCTTACTCATATAAGGGCCTCCAAGCCTATCTTCTCATGCCTATTTCCTTCTTCTCTGTTCACTCACACAAAGGAACTAATCTAAGCCAGAGGTGGGCAGATGTCAAGTTTGTGAAGTCTATTTTGCTTTCCATTACAGTGTGGAGGCCTATAAAACAGAGTCGGACACAAAACAGCAGCTCAGGGGGCAGAGTTAATTATCTACTGCATCCCATGAAGCAAGTACATTTGTGTGAGTGACCCTAGGGAATCAAAAATAGCATTCAAAAATGGCCAGTAGAACAAATACCTGGTCCAAAACAACTGATCAGCACATCTCTTTTACAGATAAGGAATCCTGAGGCCAAGCGATAAGTCATTAGAACAAGGGAGCCATGACAGAGGTGTTTTGTTTGTGTGTTGTTTAATTGCCTTGTTCTCATGAAAGTCAGAAACCCTCAGAGATCTACCATGAACCACCCAGAGATCTCGCACAGATCACAATCTACCTTCTCTCCTCCTTGACCTGAGCTACTCCACTGGTTTTCCAACTGCTGATCCAAGAGTGCCTACCTGTCCCTGCAGCAAGAGTCTATGCTGAGCTCATCTAGCCCCCAGTACTGGATTTCCTGCAGGAAGGAAAGGGCACACAGCTGATCCATCACATGTAGCCGGCCAGTCTGGTAGTAATTATGGATGTAGCTAAATGCCTGAGAGCTACGATCGAAGAAGTACTCATTCTCCACCAAGTTGGCATCATCACAGAGCTCCAGGAGGCTGGAGGCGACATCCCGGGCAGCAGACACCACCACAGCCAGCTTGCCCAGGCGAGTGTCCGGGTAGCAGCAGAGCGTCTGCTGGGACAGAACAAAGCGGGCGCCTCCCACATTGATGGTGATGGAGTCCAAGGATGGGGAGACTGGCTGCAGCAAGCATCGAGGCTCCTCCTCACTGCAGAAGACGCTGGACTCCAAAGACCCCAGAGACGTGCCCTCGCCCAGCTCCTCCACGGATGCCCCGGAAGAAAGGGACAGGCAGCAAGGAGGTGACTTCATTCTTCAGCTGCCCCAAGCAGCCCCTGCCTTCTCTCTTTCCTAGGGGAGAGAACAGTCACATAGTAAAGCTGAAGAACCTGATGACGGACTTGTGGTGGGCTCTTAATGATGGACTTGCAAAACGATGGACATTCAGGAAGATGGGCATTGCGAATGGTGGACATTTTAAGGGGAGGGAGGGATTTCCTGAATGTTTCCAAGTACAGGCGTGCAGGTATCATGTTCACCCAGCAGTGCACTGTACAAGTGTCGAAACCAGGGTGGGGCAGCCATAGCCAACCCGGCACCATCCAGCTCCTGCCATTCTCAGTGAACACAACCAATTGATACATTCTTACTCCTCTCCTGTAGTTAGCAGAAGGAACTGTCTGCAAACCAAAAGCTTCGAGTAGGTCATAACCCTTCAAAGAAATGTTTGAAGTAAGTGTTTTAAAAATTAAAACATAATTATTCAGGGTTCAAAATGTAGTTTCTCTAGGATCAAAAGCTCCATTTCCTTGGCACATGACTATGATTTCTAAAATCCAGCCTTCACCCTGGGCTCCACCTGTCATGCACAAGTAGAATTGCATGCCGGAGAATCAGAGGACAACCTCCACGCCACCCACAACACCCAACTTCACAGCATGGAGCTCTCCTATCCATGGAAGAACTTACAGGGTTCTCCGTTGTGCTTAGAGGCTCCCTGACCAGACTGAGCTGCCTGCTGCAGACTCAGTTCAGACTCATGAAGTGCTGATGAGGACACAATGGAAAGGGCGTGCCCAAATTTTTGGTCTCCCCTCAAGCAATGCTGAATATGTGAAAGGGCACACATTCTCAGCAGGTCTTATGTCTCTTGATACTTAGCACCCCCATGTGATGAAGGACACGGTTGTATATATGCTTACTCAGAAAAATGTCCTGCAACTCCAACGATTCCTACTTTTTTTGTTTGCATACATAGATCAAATCCCACCTGAAGTAGCATTGCTTTCTGCCCCTTTAGAAAGATTTTTCTTCCTCTGTGCCCCCATTCTTTCCCCGACATCCTTTTTCTATTTCTGCCGCAGCCACTTCTTTCCTAGCTTTCAGTTCTGTACCTGCCTGTCGTTTCGCACCCTTCCTCTGAGGAGACACAGGACAGCATTGCTGGAGCTGCGCCTTCTCCAAACGGCAGGCGAGGTTGGGCTGGGTCTCTGGCTCTAAAGCATCTTCAGAGGAGCTCTCCCTGAAGAAGTATAGCACTCTTTTCAAGACATCCCCTGCCATTCATATGCTGTTGGGCAGAACAACAAAATCCCAAAACCAGGACATGCTCTCTGGGTACTGCTTGTCTCACAAAAAATATTGCTCATTATTACAATTACTATTCTGAATCAGAAGCCATTTCCGGGAAATGCTTTCTGTTAGGACAACTACTATCTTCCACCATGGTGAGAGATAACCAGTCAAGCAACTTTTCCTCATCTTTTAGATTGCTGAACTATCCCACAAAAGAGCCAGTGTGGTGTATTGGTTAAGAGCGCAGGACTCAGGTGATCTGGGTTTTAGTCCCCACTCAGTCATGAAGCTCACTGGGTGACATTGGGCCAGCCACAGTCTCTCAGCCTGACCCACCTCACAGGGTTGTTGTTGTAAGGATAAAATGGAGAGGAGGAAAAAGTTGGTAAGCCACCTTGGACTCCTCACAAGATGACGTACGGCAGGGTGTCAGTGTAATGTGATAAGAAACATTATATACTTGCTGGTTCTACTAGCACATCACTGAAACAATGGCATCGACTATTTTATATTTCTTCTCTGGAATTTCATTGCAATAAGAATGGATTCTTTTCAACATAATTTAGTATTCAGGCTGCAATGCTATGCACAACCATCTAGGAGCAATCCCAGTGAACAAAGTGGCATTTACTGCTGTGTAAGCATGATCAGGATTGTGCCAACAAGAATTCCCATTTCCATAATGACTCTTAAATAAAGTTGATATATTTTAATTAGTCCTCCACATTTTGGAGATTCTTTCATGTTTTCTGTAGATTACCAGTCATTCTTTTTGGCTTAAAAGTCCTGTGCCTACAGCAACATAAGATGCTGAATAATGATAAATGATTCACATTTTTATCACCACATCCCTTAACCAAATGATATTGTTGGTAAAACAAAGTCAAGCATCAAAGTTGGATAGAAACAGATATTTACTGGTTATTCCAAGTTGATGACTTCACCGTTTATTAACTGTGACGGAATTCTCTTTGCTGAAGTTCCAAACCATACAGCAACGCTGATCCAGGGACAGCACATTTCTTTACGGGAAAGTAAGCACGACTGAGTGCAGTGGGATTTGCTTGCTTAATAAGCATGCACTGCGATTTCCTAGCATGCAACTGCAGAAACTTTTTTTAAAATTGATGGCGTTTCAGAACCTTTAAGTGATGCTTCGAGGCTGCGAATGGCAAAAGATTCAGAATCTGATGCAGAATGACCGGGGAGTACGCCCCTTTGAAGACCCGGGGGCTTACTTCCCAGTAAGCATGCAAAGGATTGTGCTGTCAACGTTCATGCTACTTGCGAAAAAGTACAAGACAGAAGGTCGCCATCTCAATCGAAACAGCACCACAAGGCACCTTGTATTACATGCTTCAAACTTGTGCCCTCTAGATGTTTTGGACTACAACTCGCAGCTGTCCTGACAATTCGCCGTGCTGGCTGGGGCTGATCGGAGCCGCAGTCCACAGCAGCAGGGGGGGACCAGGCTGGGCAGGGAGGCTGTCTCCCAAGTGCGCCCTCCCATCGAGGTGTGGGAAGAAGGCGCCGCGCCACTTACCTGGCTCCCCGCCCGCTGCCCCGCGGACATCTGGGCTGCTGCTCCGGCGGCCGCTGCCTTCCCTCAGCTCGCTCTCGGCTTGGCCGCTGGGCGGAAGCCTGGCGGAGCGACCGCCAGTCCCGAGAGCGCCGCTCCACACGCGCGCCGCCGCCGGCTCTCAACTTCTGCCCGAGCGCTCCCACCGGGCTGCCTCGCTGGTCACGTGAGCGCGCCGCGGACAAATCGGAGCGCAGCGTTGGGACACCCCCTCCGTGAGAATCCGAAATTGGAAAACCAGGGGGAGGGGGTGGGGCTCCCGAAAGCAGGCGCGGCTCGACAAAGCCCGGGCCCCGAGCTGCGAGCCCGGCCCCAGGTTCATCTCGCTCAGGTTCGCGCTTTGCACTGAATGGCCGTGGCGCTCCAGGAATTCAGACAAGGATCTCTGGAGACACCTGGAGGTGGTGTTAGGCAGTGGCCAGTAGGGATGGAGCTACGGAAGGTCGTCTGCCCCACCGCCGCTGTCCATGGGCACTTGCTGATATAGGTACGGAGCGGGGGGTGGGGGTGGCGGAGGCTCTCTGCAGCGTCTGATCCTCTCAGATGAGCGGGATCTTTTGCCCTCCTGCCTCTCACCTTACATTTTTCTTCCTGAGATTTTTCCTGACATCATCTGTACCCCTTTTTACAAATTGGAGTGTCTTAGGAGACAGGGTACTTTAAAAGTGCTCTCCCTCTTTTGCACACACATGCACACACGGACTTTAAGGCATATATATATATATATATATATATATATATATTAGCACATGCACATTTGTAATTTTTCTTTTTATTTTCGGTTCAGTGGGTTTGAGCCCAGCACCCCTGGACCAAATAAATGAATCTGGGACCTTTGGCATGAAGCATACACCACACTGGCTCTGCTGCCAGCAAGTTGCCGGTTGCAGAGCCCAGCCTTGAGCGTGTTTATTAGGAAGTGAGGCTCAATGAGTCCAGTGGGATTCATTCCCAAGTAAGCATGGCCAGGATAATTGCAGCCTGGTGTGTCTGCTCTGTTTACTCGGAAGCTGACCCTGCCAAGGTCAGTGGGCTTTGTTAGCCTTGAGATGACACCTGGTTACTGGTTAGCGTGCTGGTCAGGGACTCTGAAGATCCATGCATTGGCGCATCATTACATTTGCATCCCCCTTTCCCCTCCACTTCGGTGGGAAGCCAACAGTGTTCTGTACACAAAAGCATTTAGCCATGTTGGCCACATGTCCACGGAAGTGTCCTCGGACAATGCTGGCTGTTCAGCTTGTGATGGAGATGACACCATCCCTAGAGTTGGACAGGACTACAAGTAGCATGCATGTGCGAGGGAAACCTTTACCCCTTCTAGAAAGAACCCAAGGTGCTTATCTTATCTTCCTCTTCCCTGTTTTATCTTCATAACAACCTTGTGAGGGAGGCTGAGCTGAGAGTCAGTGAATGGCTCCACAGTGGCCCAGTGAGCTTGATGTACAGGTGCATGGGACTCCCTGGAGTCATAGGCAATAATGCTCAGGGAGGATGCATTTGCAAATCCTGCACTTTCCAGGGATTGATTAGATGGTCTGCAAGGTCTCTTCCAACTCTATAGCTTTAGACTGAAATTTGGGAGCAATTCCTTCACTTTCTTCCACCATCCATTGGAGAAAGTACTCTTGGATTGGAAGCTTCTCCAGAATTTATAAGTCCACACATACACATTTTCCATAGTTAATAGAGTGTTTGCCGCCAACAAAATAACATTTTGTAATAAGGTTCTTGTATTTACATAATGCAAGATAAGTTCTAGTTTTTCCTTTTTTTGGCAGAAATATTCTGGAATTGGCATTCCTAACACTCCACCCCCCCCCCCCCACACACACAAACATTTCAGCTTGGCAGTTATAAGGAATCAAATTGTTCGAGGTCAATAAAGTGCCAAGAAATGTGTTCCAAAAGCTTCCAAAGAGGGTGGCTGTTAGTCTATTTCCAGGACTGGAGCTCCAGCTCTCCTTTATGGCCCTCCCCAAACAATGTGGAGGGGGGTGGGCAGAGGATAACATCCTAAGGGTGCAACTCCCAGTGTGCTCCAGCTGGCCTGGCTTTTTTCTGCCTAAATATATATAGGCTTGTATCATAAGAGTCTTATGCCACACGGAAGACTGAAAAATAGCAGTATTACGGAATATGCTTTCATGGACTAGAA